CGGGATGGAGAGAGGAACCCCGGGATGGAGAGCAGAGCCCTGGAATGGGGAGAGGAGCCCGGCATGGAGAGTGACCTCATCCCTGTGGTGCCTGCGGGGGTTTGGCATCCCCCCACCTCAGCTACATATATTATATATCTGTATCTACACCTTTACTGTCAGTTAATGCATTATTGTACCCCCAGCGTCCAGGAAAGTACCAATCACACCATTAAAACAACATTTCCCAGCTCTCTGCACCACAGACCCAAGGGAGCACCAGGACAGGGCTCAGCTCCTGGGCCCAGTCCCTCGGATTGAGCCCCCCCCGAGGAAAAAATGGGTTAAAAACCCCGACTGGGACAGAGCTGGAGTTGGGAAGGGGACAGGGATTTGCACAGAGGAGGGAAAGAGGCTTCTCCTCGATTTTCTCCATTATTTTGCTCCCCCTAAGCTGCAGCACGAGGAGCCTCTGCCAGGATTTGGCACAGAGGGAGGGAGGACAGAAACCTTGAGATGGAAAATAAAGCTAAAGGGAATACCTCCCCTTCCAAAAAAAAAAAAAACCACCCCTCAACCACACAGTCCTTCACCAGAAGAGGCCAAAATGTTTTAAACCTCATTTTTCAGGACACTGTCACCAAGAACTTGTGAACGAGCCAAGAACTTTGTCACACTGACACCCCCCTTGTCCAAAAAAAAACCACCCAAACCCAAAATCAACCCAAACCCCACGACACCATGGGCCAGCCACGAGCAACACAAATAAAATAAAAATACAAAGGGGATTACAGGTTTAGAAAAGAGGAATTTGTCAAAGTCCTTGTTTGAAACCAGCCCTGTGAGAGCCCACCCCGTCCTCCCCCTCTGCGGGAGCGCTCACAGGATTGGGGTAAAAAGTGTCTCAAAAGAGCAGAAAAGCCTCATTTTTGGTTGCACTGGGTCTGCTGGAGGATCTCCTCCTCCTCCAGGAGGTCCGGGGCTGATTCCCTGGAGAAATCCCTTTGTCCCTGCCCTGTCTGCACTCCGAGGGCACGGGGAGGCCCAGCAGGAGTTGGGAGCAGGGCAGGAGCTGGAAGGCAGGTCCAGGTCACAGGAAAACTCTGCTGGGAGGTGGGAACAGACAGTCCAGCCCCCGTCCCAGGACTGAGGACACAACCTGGGATGTTCCCAAGGGAGGGCAGGGAACAGGGATGTTCCCAAGGGAGGGCAGGGAACAGCCCCGGGGATGGACTCGAGGAGCTGCCCCAGCCGGGTTTGGCACCGGGGTGGGATCCTTGTCCAGGCCTGGACCTTGAACACCTTAAAAATCACAGGATGGGGCAATTCCTCTAAATTTTGGGAGCAGACTCCCAGTGCCCAACACCCTTCACAGCCACCTGAGGGGGGGCTGAGCCCCCCCACCCCTCACCAGCCCCTCGGGAAGGATCCCAGGGTTGGATGGGGCTTGGAGCAACCTGGACCTGTGGAAAGTGTCCCTGGGGGTGGCACTGGATGGGCTTTAAGGTCCCTTCCCACCCAAAACATTCCATGACTCCATGCCAGGGGTTCACACACCTGGAGAACCCCCAAACTACCCCTACCCCCGGGTGCAGGAGGTGGATTTTCCTGCCCAAAGTTATCCCTCGGGTGAGACAGGGCTTGGAAAATGGTGTTTATTGGTACTTATAAATACAAACATCAGGAAGAGTCCATTTGAAGACGGATAGTTGATTTAAAAGGACACTGTCAAGTAGTTTTGAGCTACCTTAATGCTGCCACCCTGGTTGGCAAACAGAAAAAGAGAATGCTTTGGGTTCTGTGTTCTTGAGTTTTCCCTGGAAAACTCTGCTCTGTTCCAAAGGAATCCAGTCATCCAACTACACCCCGCCTCCGAAATCCCACTTTTCGCTCTCCCCTGCCACAGTATGAGCTGAACAAAGTGGTTTGTTTTGCTTTTTTTCCCAGAGTTGTGCAAATCCTGTGATTGCTGGGTGATCACCATCCTCTGCCACCCTGAAACCTGGAGAAAGTTCTGGAAATGAAGCCCCTCTCTCTCTCTCTCGAGGAGAGAGGGAGAATCCACAGCGCTAAAGGGGATTTGAATAAATATAAGGGATCAAAAGCATCTACAGGAAGGCATTGACAGTATCCTTTTAACCACAGCAGCCTGGAGTTCCTCCCAGCAGACCGTGAGCACAGACTGGGGGGACTGGGGGGAGGTGGAGGGAGTGCAGCCCCCGGGGCCCTCCCGTGCCTGGAGAGCCTGGGAAGCAGCTCATTGTCCTTGGAGCAAACTCCTGGTGAAAAAACAACCCCCCCAGACCCCGGGAAAGCTGTTCCTGGTGCTGCACCTGCTCTTCTCCCACCAAAGGAATTCCTCAGGACCCAGGGGAGGCCCCAGTTCCTCGGTGGTTCAGCCCCAGCTGGGCAGGAATATCCACGGACACGAGGGCTCCTTCCATCCAGCGGGAATGGCTGACACAGCTCAGCTCCCCCCGGAGCCTGATCCAGGCCCTGCCCCCTTAAACCCTTGGGATCTGCCCAGCAGTTCCACCCCGGGCACCTGGAATGCCCGGATCAGTCCGTGCTCTCCGTGCTCCCCTGGAGCACCTGCGCTGATTTTGCCTGAAACGCCCCCAAAACCAGCCCCCAACCCCCCCCCTTCCCTCCCCCCCCCGAGCTGGGCCTGGCTCATCCCAACCCCTTTCCATCCCTGTGGGTCCTCCTGGGGGTTCCACACTTACCTGTGGAAGGTGGGAAGGTCGGGAAAGCCCCCAGTGCTCCCTGGAGCCAGGGCGGCTCCCAGACCTGCTCCATCAGGGAATCCTTAATTTCTTCATGAGGGCAACAAGCAAAGAGGTTCTACTTTGCTTTTCCTCGGGGATAAGATGAAGGGATGGAGGGAAAGGACAGGAGGAGGGAACTTACAGTCGCTGGAACACAGACTAGAACTTTATCCCTGTATTGAGAATTATATATAAATATATATATATTATTCCCTGTATTGGGAATTATATCCTTGTCACTGGGATAAAACCTGAAATCAGAATAAATTTGGACACCCAATCCTTGCTCAGACAGGCCAAGAAATCCCACAAGAGCCCAGCCTGGGGTGCAGCTCAACCTGCTCCTTAAAAACCTTCCCAACAGGCTCGGGCTTCTCCTGGGAAAAAAAAAAATTTCCTTTTTAAAACTGAAATTAAGGATTGGTCACTTTGGGCTGGGAGATGTCAAAGAAATGATTGAATTAAAAACTCGCTGAAAGGAAAAAAAAACAAAAAAAAAGGAAAAAAGCAGGAGGTGGGGAGGGTCAAAAAATCCAACATCACAGATTCCAAGGTCTACCACAAGCACCTGGGAAAGCCTCCGAGCTGGACAGTGTGGATATGGGAGAGAGCACGGTCAGGGGGGGAGCACAGGGGATCCCTGGCTCCCAGGTACATCCTGGGTTCCAAGTAAATCCTGGCTCCCAGGGGGATCCCGGCTCAGCAGCTGCTCCTTCACTCCCTCGCTGAAGAATGGACATGGAGCTTGTTGGGATTTTCAGGTTTGTTGGGGTTTTTTCCCTCCTGGCCAACGGCTGCGGGGGTTAAAGCGAGTCCCTCTCCTCTCCCCCAGCCCCCACTTCCAATGATTCCGGTTCCTATTCCAACCCCACCAGCAGCATCAGTCATTCCGGGTCGGGGGGGTTCAGCTGAGCAAGCCCAGCGGGGATGGGCCGGGATTGCCCCGCTCCAAAGCTGTCCCAGCTGCCGAGTCCCCGTTCCCGCCGGCACAGGGGGGATCCCGGGGGGCTCCGGGGGGGCTCCCGGCCCCGCTCACTGGCCCTCGCAAACGACCCCGGGATCGCCTCCCTCCAGGATACTGGTGTGTCCCCCGGAACGCCACGGGCGCAATTCCAGCCTCAGTTGGCCGGGACGAGCGTTCCAGCGTCATAGGATGATGCAGCATCTGCAGAAGCGCTGCCGGCTCCCGCCCACCGACGGCGGGGGGGTCACCGGGGCGAAGTAGGCGTGGACCTTGATGTTGGGGAGGTGGGTCTGGAACGGCAAAGACGGGCAGGGAGGGGGGGTCAGAGGGGGTGGAGCGCACCTGGATCACCTGGGCCACGCCCCGAATCCAGGGGGATTCACCTGAGGGATTCACTCTGGGTTCACCTGCGGGATCCCCCCTCCCCCCCAGGAGGGCTACAGGGAATGAGGAAGGAAGGAGGTTTTTTCCTATCCCATTAATCCTCTGGCAGCTGTGGGGGACAGAAGATCATCTCCATCCCTGGAGGTGTCCAAGGCCAGGCTGGAGCAACCTGGGACAGCGGGAGATGTCCCTGCCCATGAACCAGACGAGCTCCAAGGTCCCTCCCAACCCAAACCATTCCATGATTTTATGACGTTACTTGACAGACCCACGTTCTCCCTGCAGATAAAATGTGACCAGGACTCCTCCTTTACAGAGGGAGACACGGATTTGGGAGGGGATATTGAAGAGAAATTTTTCCCTGTGAGGGGCTGGAATGGAATTCCCAGAGAAGCTGTGGCTGCTCCATCCCTGCAAGTGTCCCAGGCCAGGCTGGAGCAACCTGGGATAGCGGGAGGTGTCCCCAGGGGGTGGAACTGGACGAGGTTTAAGGTCCTTCCCACCCAAACCACTCCATGATTCCATGACTCCAGATGCACCAAGGATGCTCTCCCAGCCCAGGTGATGAGGGAATGGATAACCCCCCTCCCAATCCCGGCCGGAGCGGTGCCTCCCTTCCCGCTCACCCTGAGTCTCTTGATCCCTGCCCGGGTGATCTGCTGGCAGTCGTACAGCTCTATCCTCTCCAGGCTGTGGCAGCTCTTGAGGTGCTCCAGGGAGGCGTCGGTGATGAGGGGACAGTTGTCCAGCTCGATCACCTCCAGCCGGTCGTGGGCGCAGGCGCCGTTCCCGAGGTGACGGATCCCGTCGTCCGTGATCAGCTCACAGTGGGACAAACTCTGAGCCCAAACACAGCGAGTTCGGGGGTCAGACACGGCTCCTGCCACCCCAAAATCCAGCCCCAACCTCCCTGGGGACACGGGGGAGGGTGGGCTGTGCTGGGTGGGGCTGGGCTGGTTTGCAGAGTGGGTTTTAGGACTGGTCTGTGCTCCCTCCCGGCACCGGAGCCACTGGGCTCTGTGGGCTCTGTGCATCCAAGGGGAAAACTTCCAGTTGGAATGGATAAAAACCCTTCCCTGTGAGGGTGGGGAGGCCCTGGCACAGGTTGCCCAGAGAAGCTGTGGCTGCCCCATCCCTGGAAGTGTCCAAAGCCAGGCTGGAGCAACCTGGGACAGTGGGAGGTGTCCCTGCCCATGAACTGGACGAGCTCCAAGGTCCCTTCCAACCCAACCCATCCCATGATTCTATGAATGGGAAAGGCAGCTCTGGAGGGATGAGACCCACAGGGTGGCACAGAAATCCCACAAACACCCCTGCAACGGGAGAACCCACCTTTGGGACACCCATGGCCTCACCCACTGTGGGAAGGGCCCTGGAATTGGGTCCAAAAACCAGCAGGAACACGATGGCACCACCTGGTGTGGGGGTTTTTTTTGAGGGGGGGGGGAATTCAGCAGATTCCACTGGGAATTCTGCTCACAGGAGAACCCCGTGCCCCACAGCCCTTCTGAGGGATCAGTGGGAACAGCAGGGGAGGGACAAGAGGTTCCTCAGGGTCAGGTTTCCAGCAGAATCTTCCCAGCGGTTGCAACACGACTGTGAAGTCAGAGAGGGTTTAAGATCCCTCTGTTTCAAGTGCTGGAAGTCTCCCTTGGAATACTCACCAGGACTTGGAGCCGTGGACAGTGTATGGAAAGCTGGATTAGGGTGCTGTCTGTTATCTGGAAGAGAAGAGGAAAGGGCCCCTTAACTCTGGGTGTGGTGCACAAGGACTTCATTTTTCCTCTCTATGGATAAAAAAATGGCAGAATTTTCCCAAATCCCCGAGTTTTCCCCACAGCCACTCTCCTGAAGCCCTCAGGAACTCATCTCCTCATGGAATCAGCTCCTGCCCTTTGCAGGCAGAGGCACCACTGGGTTGCTTTTAAGTTCCCCAAGGAGCTGAGATCAGATCACAATTCCGAGAGCCAAAGGAGCTCCCGGGGGTTCAGGAGGGCTCAGGATCCCTCCCCCAGCCTGTGGATTGTCCCTGGTTTTCTGCAGGAAGAAGGAGACTCACACAATGGTTTCTAACCCCAAGGCCCCCCAGGGAGCTGCCTGGGATGGGTTTGTGCCAGGCCAAGGCTCGGCCCTGCTTCCCTCATTCCTTTTTTTGGGATCCTTTTCCTGTCTGGACGGGTGTCATTTCCTCCTGGCAGCTCCTGGGTTTGTGCCCTGGGAACACCAGGAAGGCAGAACCCCAGGCCAGGCTGTTCCCACAGCCCTGTTCCCTCCTTGGGCTGGATCCACTTCCAGTCTATCCTTGGGGCTGGAGGTTTTTCCATGGGATCTCGAGTCAATCCAACCCTTTTCCCTGTCAATGCTGCAGCCCAGTTTGATTCCAGGCCTCTACAACCACTGTCCCAACCACCTGCCAGAGGAAAACCCCGTCGTTTTTAGCAACATATGAGTGTAAAGATCATTCCCTGGGATTCCACCCCACGTCAGAAATCCCACCTCACACATTCATGACGTGACCTGACATCCATTCCCAATAAATATTTATCATTTACAGCAGCAGCATTAAAATGAAACACAAAACAAAGATAAAACCAAAATTTTCCTTCTCTAAATCCAGCCAGTCTGACTGCTCAGGATTCTAAATTAGGTTCTAATCTGGAGACAATCTACTAATTTTTCACCAGCTGTGCCAAAAGAAAAACATTTCCTACCTGGACACACTCTTCCAGGTCCATTTTTTCAAGCTCATGGCAGTTCTGGGAATAAAGAGAAAACCAAACACCCAAACTCAGTGTAAAGTTCAGACTATAAATATAAATATAAATATAAATATAAATATAAATATAAATAGAAATAGAAATAGAAATAGAAATAGAAATAGAAATAGAAATAGAAATGTAACCACCACAAAGACAGTTTTCTTTAAAAATTAGGGGGTTTTCTCCATGAAATATCAGGACTGGAAGGAAATTTTCCCTCTTCTTTAAGAACAGCACCAAGGACAGTGAAGGAAATTCCGCTCATTTAAAGGCACAGAGGGTTTTAATGGTAATTAAGGTAATTTAAATTTAGGGTCATGTGTAGGCAACACAGATGAACCTCAAAAACCAAGCAGCAAAGTCTGTAACTCCCAAGTATTTAATGTTTCATGTGGTTTGGATGTAACCCCTCCCAGACCTGTGGGTCCATGCCAGAGATCCCATAAACCCTTTTATAACCCAGATTCCATAAATCCTATTTTTTGCAACTTAAAAGAGCCCATAAACCCCAATTTTTGCAATTTAGACTCCACAAACCCTATTTTTTTGGTAGCTTAGCTTCCACAAACCCTTATTTTTTGTAACTTAAAGACCCCACGAGCCCTAATTTTTGTGACTTAGATTCCACCCAAACACCGAGAAAAGAAGTTTTCCCAAAATCTACTGGAGTTTTTTTTGGGTTTTTTTTGTTATTTATCCCAGAAAGAGGAAGGAAGAGGGGAAGGAGGGAAGGAGCCCTTACCCTGGCCAGGGTGGTGAAGCCCACGTCGGTCAGCTGGGAACACCTCGCCACCTCCAATATTCTGCAGGGAAAGAGGTGACAGGAGCCATGGAAGGGTCCCAGAATCCCAGGAGAATCCCAGGGGAATCCCAGGAGAATCCCAGGAGGGATCCCTGGGGATCACCCAGTGCAACCCCACCCAGGCTGGGGGACACTGGTGGGGTTGGAATGTCCGGAGAGAGGGATCCACGCCCACCCTTGGGCAGCTGCTCCCCATGGAATGAAGCTCTTCCTCGTGTTGAGGAGGAACTTCCCGAGTTTTATTTTATGTCCTGGCACTGGGAAGAGCCTGGCACCGTCTTCCAGCTGTTTCCCAGAGTTGTAAGAGGAGAGTTACTCAGTGGGTACCATGGCAGGAGTTTGTTTACTCCAGCTTCACTCACAAGAGTTTAAAAACCAGAAATCTGATTTTTAACCAGGTTTTAACCAGGAATCTGGTTTTTAACCAGATTTTTAACCAAGAATCTGGTTTTTCCTCTGCCCATCCCATTAAAAAAAACACCTGGATGAAGCTCAGAGATAAAAACTGCCCTTCTAGGAAGATCTTCAGAGGCTGAAAATGAATCTGATTTTTAACTAAGAATCTGGTTTTTAACCAGATTTTTAACCAGGCTTTAACCAAGAATCTGGTTTTTAACCAGATTTTTTTAAACAGGTTTTAACCAGGAATCTGGTTTTTCCTCTGCTCATCCCATAAAACCACACCTGGATGAAGCTCAGGGATAAAAACTGCCCTTCCAGGAAGACCTTCAGAGGCTGAAAACGAATCTGATTTTTAACCAGGAATCTGGTTTTCAACCAGATTTTTATCCAGGTTTTAACCAGGAAACTGGTTTTCAACCAGATTTTTATCCAAGTTTTAACCAGGAATCTGGTTTTCAACCAGATTTTTTTTAACTAGGTTTTAACCAGGAACCTGGTTTTTCCTCTGCTCATCCCATTAAAAAAAACACCTGCGTGAAGCTCAAGGATAAAAACTGCCCTTCCAGGAAGACCTTCAGAGTCCGAAAACGAATCCGATTTTTAACCAGGTTTTAACCAGGAATCTGGTTTTTAACCAGATTTTTATACAGGTTTTAACCATGAATTTGGTTTTTCCTCTGCTCATTCAATACAAAAAACACACCTGGATGAAGCTCAGGGACAAAACCTGCCCTTCCAGGAAGGCTGAAAACGGCCCCGGTGGCACCCGAGCGCTGCCCCAGGACCCCCCCGCTCCACGTGGGGGTGGGAATTCCAGGGAATTCCAGGGAATTCCGGGGCACACCCACCTGAGGCGAGGGCAGTTCTGCCCCAGGGCGTTGAGGATGGCGTCGGTGATGTTGGAGCAGCCGGAGGCACACAGGGACTGCAGCTTGTGGCAGCCCCTGCAGATGGTGATCAGCCCGTCGTCCGTGATTTGCTGCGGGACCAACGTGAGATTCCACGTGAGATTCCAGGGATTTCCCCTCCCACAGTTCCAGCCCCCGGGAGGAGTTCTGGCTCCCTCGACCCCAAAATGCGCCGAGGGGTTTTGCTGGAGCAGCTGGGACAGGAGAAACCCCACTGGAGTGGCTGGGAAATGTTGGGGAAGTCGTTTTCTGTGGGCAGGGAGGTGTCTGGGAGTGGGGCCAGGGGAGGGATGGGGAAGGGGCTGGGATTCCTGCCTTTGCTATTCCTGCTTGGAAAGACCATCCCTGGGCACAGGGGGTCCATCCGGCCCCATTCCCAGACACAGGGATCCCATCCAGCCCTATTCCCAGACACAGGGGGTTTATCCAGCCCCATTCCCAGACACAGGGATCCCATCCAGCCCCATTCCCAGACACAGGGGGTCCATCCAGCCCCATTCCCAGACACAGGGGGTTTATCCAGCCCCATTCCCAGACACAGGGGGTTTATCCAGCCCCATTCCCAGACACAGGGGGTCCATCCAGCCCCATTCCCAGACACAGAGGGTTTATCCAGCCCCATTCCCAGACACAGGGATCCCATCCAGCCCCATTCCCAGACACAGGGATCCCATCCAGCCTCATTCCCAGACACAGAGGGTTTATCCAGCCCCATTCCCAGACACAGGGGTTTTATACAGCCCCATTTCCAGACACAGGGGGTTTATCCAGCCCCATTCCCAGACACAGGGGGTTTATCCAGCCCCATCCCTGGCCACAGGGCCCACTTCCTTGGAAAAGGAAGAGGCTGCCCAGCTGCTGTTCCAGACTAACTGTGCAATGGCACGTACAGAGAGCCCATTCCAATCTATTTTTTGGCAAAAATGCACATTTTTGGCACTGCAGAACTGGCTCAGGGCCCTTCTGTGCAGGAAAACTGCATTTTTTGGGTTCAGTTCCACAAAGAGATGAGAGGAAAGGCCTGGCAGGGCCACTCTCCAGGACTGATGGAAAGAATTTTTCCAGCTCATCCTGCAAATGAATTCGGGAGGGCAGGGAAGGGAGGGACAACCCTGACACAGCAAAGGCTGCTCTGGGGCTCATTCAACCCTCCTGAATGGCACCAAAAAATCTGCTTTTCATCAACTGTTTGCTCCAACTGCACCGAGGACGGAGCACATTCCACAGGGTTCTGCTCAGGGATGGGCTTGGAATGTTGGGAAGCCTCACTTACCAAGCAGGTTTGGAGGTTTAAAGTCACCAGCTCGGGACAATGTGCTCCAATGTACTTCAGGGCCTCATCCTCGAGCTGGGGGGGGGGAAACACAGGCACTGAGACAACCTGGCACTGCTAAAACCCACCCACTGGAGCTGGGGGGGGCACCAGAAGGGCTTTGGGGGCCTTTGGGCGATGGAACTTTTTGGGAAGTAAAAGAAATGCCCAGTGTTCCCTCCCCGCCCCCTGAGGAGCAGCAGGAACATCCCAGCTGTGCTTCTCCCCCTTTTGCAGAGCCATACCTGGGTGCAGCCCTTCAGGGACAGGGCTTTGAGCCCCCCACAGCCCCTGACCAGGGCCTGGATCCCATCCTTGGTCACTTGGTCGCACCAGGAGATGATGAGCTGTTCCAGCAGCGGGCATCCCTCGCTTGGGGGGAGAGAGAGGGGAAAACATGGGAATGCTGGTTTGTTTTGGGAGGCAATCCTGCTTTTTCACCCCTGAAATGCCCATTCCTGGAAGCCCTGTGAGCACAGACACTCCCACACCCCACATCCCCCCTGGGTGGGGACACAGTTCCCAAACCTCGGCCCCGAGGGGGACGTTCCCCGGGTGGTCTTAGAGGTGTTTTCCAACCTTAATTCCAGGATTCTGCTGGCACAGCCAGTGCTGCTGGCTCCTACCTCAGTGCTTTCAGGGACAGGTTGGTTATGGAGGTGCAGGAGGCCAAGTCCAGGTGCCTGAGTTTGGAGCAGAACTTGCTGAGGCTCGTGCAGGTGCTGGAAGAGAGACAGGGAGACAATTCCTGCCACGGATCCATCCCAGCTCACACACATCCATGGAGGGGCACTCTGGGGGGAGCAGGGGGTGGGGACAATGGGATGAACTCCCAGAAAGATTGTGGGAAGTGCTGGATGGGGCTTGGAGCAACCTGGGATTGTGGAATGTGTCCAACCCACGGCAAGGGGTGGGACTGGGTGGGCTTTAAGGTCCCTTCCAAGCCAACCCATTCCATGATTCCATCATCTCCCACACAGCCAAGGCTTTCCCTTAAAAAAGGGGTGGGAAACAGGCCCTGGAGCAGCCAGGGCTGAGGGAAGAGCTCTACTCACGCGTCCGTGATCTTGGTGCAGCCATTGAGGTTCAGCACCTCGATGTTCCTGCAGTTCTGGGCAAAGGTCCTTTGGGAAAGGGAGGGAAAACACTGGGTTGGCCAGGGAACAGAATTCCAGGGGGTTTACAGCAGTTGTGGGAAACGGAACACGGCACATTAAGGTTTGGCAGAACGGTCTCGAGCGTTAAAGAAGAAATAAAGGAGGAATAAAGAAGAAAATCAGGAAGAAAATCAATAAAGAAGAAAAATCAATAAAGGAGAAAATCAGTGAAGAAGAAAATCAATAAAGAAGAAAATAAGGAAGAAAATCAATAAAGAAGAAAATCAGTAAAGAATAAAATCAATAAAGAAAAAATCAATAAAGAAAAAATCAATAAAGAAAAAATCAATAAAGAAGAAATCAATAAAGAAAAAATCAATAAAGAAGAAAATAAGGAAGAAAATCAATAAAGAAGAAAAATCAATAAAGGAGAAAATCAATGAAGAAAAAATCAATAAAGAAGAAAATAAGGAAGAAAATCAGTAAAGAAGAAAAATCAATAAAGGAGAAAATCAATGAAGAAAAAATCAATAAAGAAGAAAATAAGGAAGAAAATCAGTAAAGAAGAAAATCAGTAAAGAAGAAAACCAGTAAAGAAGAAAATGAGTAAAGAAAATCAGTAAAGAAGAAAATCAATAAAGAAGAAGAAAATCAAGAAAAGAAAATAATCAAGAAACAGGAATCAAGAAAATCAAGAGGAAAATCAAGAGAATCAAGAAATAAGAAAAGAATGAAGAAAAGTAAGAAAATTGAGAAGAAAATCGAGAAGAAAACAAGTAAAGAAGGAAACCAAGAAAATGAAGAAGAAAACCAAGAAAATACAAAAGAAAATCAAGAAAATATTAAAAAAACCAAGAAAATATTAAAGAAAATCAAGAAAATGTAAAAGAAAATCAAGAAAATAAAGGAAAAAATCAAGAAAATAAAGGACAAAATTAAGAAAATAAAGAACAAAATTAAGAAAATAAAGAACAAACCCAAGAAAATAGAAGGAAATCCAGAAAACCAGTGATTTCTGCTGGCCCATCTCGTGCCCTGGGATTTCCCAGCCCCACTAAAGGCCTCAGCTGCCCCTCAGTGCCAATCCCTCCTGAGTTTGGAACAGCAGCTGACAGGATTTTAATGAGAACCGAGAAAAACTGAATTTTAATGAGACTTTTGAACCCGGGCTGAGGTTAAAAATGACCAATTAAAGCGGGAAATGAGCAGTGTCTGTCCCTGCCCTCGAGGTTTCCCTCACACACACACACGGGCTGAGGGGCTGGGGCATGAAGTGGTGCTGAATTATCCCCGTCCTGGGGGGATGGAGGAGCCAAATCCCCCTTCCCAGCCCAATTCCAAGCGGGAAGAAGGGGCAGCTCTACCTTAAGGCGTTGTCCCCCACTCCCAGGCAGCCCCTCAGGCTCAGCTTCCGCAGGAATCCCCCACATCTCTTGGAAATGTTCTCGACCACCCGGCCCTGGGGGAGACAGAAAGGGCACCTCAGCATTGCCCCCCAAAAAAAAACCCCCAGACAGCTGGATTCAACATTTGGCAGGTTAACAACAGGTTTGTTACTTTAGGGTGCTAAGGAAATAAAAATGCCACGGGGAGGATCTCAGGGAAGGGGGAAGGGGGGGATTATTCAGCTTCTGAAGATGGAGAGACAAGGAGCAGTTCCCTGAAGCCCATCGGCCAAGGATGGGGGAATTCCAAGGAACTTCCCCCCAGTTTGGGGCTCCTGGACATCCCCACAGACTCCCCAGGGAATGGGAGGGGAGCTACACCCTGGGCAGCAGGATTTCCAAGGGATAAACCCAAACTTCCACTCAGGAGCAGAACCAGCCCAGGAGTTTGGCAGGAAAAGGGATTCAAACGCTTGTGGCTCCAGAGATCCAGAAAAAGGCTTTTTTTATTTCAAATCTGTGTTCACTGGAAGTCTCCAAAGAGCCCAGGATTTTCCTCTCTCCCTGGGAATGAAAGGGCAAACCCTCTGGAGAATATCTGAGCAGTGCTCAGCAATCCAGAACCTCCCCCTGTGCTTTGGTTGTTCATCACAAACCAGAGCATCCCTCGGCTCTCCCTGAACTAACTGGCATTTAAAAGCAACAGAAGATGAAGATGCTCCTCTGGAATCTCTTTTCCAGTCCCCAAAAAGCCCCCAAAACCAAGGATCAGGCTCAACACGACATAATCCCACAACCAAAGAGGGACACTGAGATCTCTAAGGTGAGTTTTGGGCCACAGGAGCAGCTCCACGAGCTCCACATCCCTGGAAAAAGGCTGGAGGAGCTGCAACACTCCCAGATTTTGCAATTCCTCTGGCAAGCCTGTGGATCCTGCTTGGATTAGGGGATCCAAACACGCCTGTATCAATAATTTACACCAACTGCTGGATTTAACTCCCTCCAAGCAAAGCCTGAGCACATCAGGAAGCCCAGCTGGTTCTGGAGGTGAGGAACAACAAATCCCAGCGTTTTCTTTTAAAAGGGGTTGGGTTTTTTCAGGATTTTTTTTGGTTTTTTTTTTTTAATGGAATAAAACATTCTGAGGGTTGGTTTTTTCTGCTCCCTTTTCCTGCTCAAGGCACTTTCCATTTTAAGACCACCCCTATGAGTGCAGAGCCCACATCCAACAGATCCGACAACGAGGCAACTCCAAAGCTGCACCTTTTTAGGGAGAACTTTTGACCTCATCCCCCCCAAATCATCTTCACTGAAATTTCAATTTTTGATATTAAAGACAGACAGGGAAGGATTCAACAGACATTCAGCCTTTGTGGTCTCATCAGTGCTGTGCTGACTGGGAGGAGAAGGAGAAACAGCCTCAGTTCTGCTCCAAACAAGCAGCAGTTTTCCCCAAAAACACACTTTTTCTACTAATTTCTGTTTTTTCAGAACAGGCAAAACCACTTTCCTTCCATTAGCCCCTCTCAAGGCTTGATGCAGACACATAATTCTGTCCATTTTCAAAAGCTGAATGGGATTGCCAAGACTTTAAAAGGCTCCTCGAAGCTGAAGAGCTGAAATTAATGATCTCTATCCCCAGGGAAGGTAAAAAAGGGTTACTCTGGGAGTATGAATCCATTCTAGGCTGTAATTACAGCTTAACAAGGGGGGAAAAAAATGGGTTTGTATGTCACTTAATGATACCTCAATGTCCCTCTGGAAATCAAACAGGTCAATTCGCTGCCAGTTACTGCCATCCAGGGCCAGAACATTCCATGCCTTTATGGGGGGAAAAAATGTAAATGTGTGGTTAATATGATAAAAAAAAAGGTCAGTGGGGGACCCAGTCCCAGTTTTGTTCCTTGGAGGAACAACATTCTCAGTGTCCCAGGTGGAAAAGCCAATGGGGGAATTCCAACACAGAGAACTGGGCAGGTACCAGAAGCACTTGCTGGGACTACCCCAGGGAATAACTTGGAATTCCAGGTCCCCTAGGCAGGGAATTGGTGCCCCCAGGGCGGGAGAAGCTGTGGGTATCTGGAATTAAGGTGAGTCCCCCCCAGGGGACCCTCAACGCTCACAAGGGGCTTTAGTTTTGGTCCAAACCTCCTGCATCTCACGTGGTTCCTGCTGCAAAAAGGAGGGGCAGGAGCCCAGAGCTGGTGATTCTGCCCTCAGTGAATCAGCACAGAGCTGTGTGTAAAGTTTTAATTACCCAATCAAAGTAAACAACCAGATCTGGTAATAACCAGGAGCTCAGCGTTGGGAAATCGGGGATAAGTACAGGTGGATTTTCCATCCCATCCCATCCCATCCCTCACATGCCCTGAGCTCGTCTCCCAGCCCAAAACACCAGCTCTTGGGCAACAATAGGTGCAGAGTCAGAGCAAGGGGCAGAACTGGGCATTAAGTGATTTTCTCTTTGTGGTTTGAATTGCTGATCTTTGTTTTAAGGTCCTCGGGAAAAGCGACGGCTCCGGTGGGAAATGCACCGGTGGCTGCACAATTCCCTGGGCAGGGAACGTTCCAGAGCCTTCCTGCACCTCCTGCAGGGACCTCACGTGCTGTGCCACGGGGTGAGTGATGCTGTTCCCTGTGCAAACAGGAGCAAGGGGCAGTCCAGGAGGGCACCTTGACACTGGCAGGATCCCGTTCCAGCCGGGACCGTCCTGCTGGAGCCGCGGATTTCACCTGGAAGGTCCTTCCCTCCCCAGACCTGTGTTATCCAGGTGGGAACTGCAACGCCCAGGCCCCACACAGGGCCAGTTTTAATGCAGTAAATAATGTTTAAGCATAATTTTTTTGATTACAACATGCTTGGACTGATGCACTGAGCAGTTTGTGCAGGGGTGACCCAGCCAGGACAGTGAACACTCCACTCCAACACCTCCCCTGGATGGACATCCCACCCTTCCTGTGGCAGTGCCTCCTCTGGCTGTTCCCAGAATGAACCTGGAAGCTCCAGATAATTTGACCTGCAGTTGGAGGAACTTTCCCAAGTGAATATTCCCAGCTGGATTTCCCCAGCTGAAGCCCACGAAGGACAGAAACCACCCCAAACAAAACACTCTTTTTTCTTTTTTTCCATGCTTACTCCAACTACATCCAGGGAGGAAATAAACTTCCACTGGCTCTGCAGCACCCCCTGTGAATCAGAATTCCTGTATTTCCACCCAAACTGTTTCAGACCCCCAGCTTTGGGGTTTCCAGCAGCCCTGGGCTCCCCGGACAAACCCAGGCTGAGGGGAAAGGTTTGGGCAAAAAGTCAGCCCCCCTCATACCTGGGACACTGGAAAATGCTATTCCAGGCTGGAGTCCCCTTCACTGGGAATCTTCCAGTGTTAGCAGGGGACACCAAATAACAGTTCAGTGGCACAAAGGTCCCTGGTACAGCCCCCTGTGTGACTGGGAAGGGCTGGAGCAAGAGGACTTTGCCTCCCCAAATCCAACCCCCTGCTAAAACCCACCAGGAAGAGGAGGAAGGTTCTTACCCTGGAAACTTGAGCACAGCGACACAGAGTGACCACATCCAGGAAGGAGAAAATTCTGGAAGAGAAACGAGAGGCACCTTATTAGTTTAACACAGGGGGAACGTGGAAAACAAAGGTGGTAGTGGAGGGGGAAAAGCCTGGGGCAGCAAAACTCCTTTGTGATTCAGCTGAAAAGAAGTGCAGAGGCAGCAGCTCCCAAACCAAAGGGAAACACAGCAGCTCTGGAGCCCCAGGGAAACGGGAACCTCAAAGCTTGGAGTAGCTCTGGAGAGGAAATTCGGGGGTCGTGGCCCCACACAGAGCCCCAGAGCCCCAGGTCTGGCCAGCCCATGGAGCACACCCGGGGATTTTGGGATGGCTGGCTCTGACTCCACGTGGGAGCGAGTCCAAGGCACCAGCACCTCCAGCAACAGCTCCCAGGAGTTGGGCAGTGCCACCATTCCCAGCCCAGGGATCAAAGCGGGCGACGGGCCCGGTTTCGGTGCCCGGATTAGTCCCGGGTGTCACCCCGGTGATTAGAGGGATGGAGCGGTGGGGAAAGGCTGGGAGAGCTGGGATTGCTCAGCCTGGAGAAGGGAAGGCTCCAGGGTGACCTAATTGTGGCCTTCCAGCACCTGAAGGAGCCACAGGAAACACGGAGAGAGAGCATTTACAGGGGCCTGGAGCGGCAGGACAAGGGGGAATGTGTGGAGGCAGGAATGGCTTCCAAGTGAAAGTCAGGTTTAGGTGGGATATTGGGAAGGAATCCCTCCCTGTGAGGGTGGTGGGACACCGGCACAAGGTGCCCAGAAAAGCATTACTTGGATAATTTTTCCCAATTCTGCCTTAACAGACCCGAAGGCACCGAGCTGGGATATTTATTTTTCCATCCAGGAAGGATTCCTGTTCTGCTCCCAACTCTTTTACATTGGTCTTTTCTCTCCTCAGAGTTGACAGCGAGGAAATAATCCACAAAATCAACTTTATCACCGAGCAGTGACCACAGCTGAAGGCAGGCTGAGCTTTCCCAACAGGAATTAAGGCTGGAATTGCAGCGGATTAAACTGTTTCACTGCAAAGTAACTCCCCCACGTGCAGCTGAACAGCTCAGCCCTGGCCAGTTTGGGTAAAACACACCCACTTAGAGCAATTTTCAGGTTTCACCCTCTTAATCCACTCAGGGTCTCTAGGACTCCTCACTTTCCCACTGTCCCTAACTGGATTAGGGTCAGGCCCCTGCTGAAATCCCTGGATGCTGAGGGCTCTGAGGTGAGCCAGCTTAGACCTTCAGCCTTCTAAAATTACCCACAGCAGTTCCTGCCAGTGAGTCACCATTCCAGGTGGATTCTGCTCCCATGGGCTGGGCAGGGGGAGAAGAAATCACAGCTCTGCTCCCACCTCCTCATCAGTTCCCAAGAACTCCAGCTCCTTGGGGATAAAGCAGGGTGGGGCTGGAATGCTGGATGGCAGAGGCAGTGCTGGGGGTGTGCTGGGAAGGGGGGAGCAGGCAGAGCACGGATCAAAGCTGCTTAGGCCAGGAGAGAGCTGCAAACTGCTTGACCTGCCCATGAACCAGCCAGGAAAAGCCCAATTCCCACTGCCTGGTCCCTGCTCCTGCCAAGGTGGGGGTGTTTAACAGCCCCACATCACCCCGGGAGTGAAACCTTCTCCAGAGGCCACGGAAAATCCGGGCTGGGGCTTGGGGTTTGGCTCCCAGACCTCATGGAATAAAAGCACCTTTCCTGTGGCAGCAGGAATGGCAGCACAGGGAAACAGGGATGAGGTTCCCCCTCTGGGGACATGAGCACAGTTGGAGCTGACAGGGACCATGGATTCACCCCCTGGAGACACCAAACTGCCCAAAGAGGAGCTGGAGCAGCCAAGGAATGAGGGCAGAGCAGGGAATGCTGCTTTTTGGTGCTTTGGCTCATTTCTGTGTGTGGGAAGGGTGACACCTCCAAGGGTGTCACCTCCTGGCTCTCAGCTGGCAGGAGACAAAGCTGCAGCAGGAACAGCAGTGCCAGGACATGGATTTGGGATTGTCTGCTGAGGCTGTGGCTGCCCCATCCCTGGAAGTGTCCAAGGTTGGAGCAACCTGGGCTAGTGGGAGGTGTCCCTGCCCATGGCACTGGATGGGCTTTAAGGTTCCTCCCAACCCAAACCACTCCATGATTCCACAAACACTGCCAGACAACTGGAGAAGGATTTGTGGTACGAAGGGAGGGAAGGTCCTGCCCCACACAGGGAATTCCAGCAGGACATCAGAGTTCTCACGCTCCTGGGAGAATTCCCTGTGGGAATGTTTGTGCCTGTGGTGCCTGGGTGTCACTGGCCATCCCTGCCCAGCAAATGTCCAGGATCAGGGGGGAACCAGGGAGAAACCAGCAGTTGATAAATGTTTCAAGTTCATGAGTGATGGTTTGGAGAGCTGGAATTCACTGTCAACAGACTGCAAAAATTAATGAGTGTGGATTGACAGTGCGGCCTTTGAAAGGGAAACTTGGATGGGTTTCCCTGCAGGAATCTCCTGTAAATGGGTGTCAGTGTCTGCAGGACAAAGGCTGGTGTGTCTGGGCAGTGCTGCTGGGGAAGGGCCTGTTCCCTGCCCCATCTCAGATGGGTTCCGTGTCTCCTGTGTGTGGCTGAGGAGTGGAAGCTGCACTTGAGCAAAATAAAGAGCAGGAGGATGTGAAAGGGGAGAGCAGCAGCCTCTGCCACCCCAAAGGCACAGGGGTTCTGTGGGGCTGGGGTGTGGGAGGGGACGGTGCTCTGGGGGCATCACCCCTTTCCCTGTCCCCTGCTCAGCCCCACCTGGATTGGGGACGTTTGTCCTGCATTTCCAGAGGGCAGGACTCTGACAGAGCTTTGCCTCCTGCCAGCAGGTGACACCCCTGGGGGTGAATGTCCCTCCACACAGGCAGGAATGACCCAAACCTCAACCCTTGGTCCCACTCGGGATCATTCCACTTCCACCTCCCAGAAACCTCACCCAGGCCCTGCTCCTTGGACCTGTGGACACACACCTGTCCTTCCCCTGAAATCCATGTGAAATCTCCATTCAATTCCATCCCTGGCCTTTTCCTCCCTGCCAGATTCCCCACATTCCCTGCCTCACACATCCACTCTCTTCCCAACCTGTCCCCGACCCGCCCGTGCCTTGTCACCTCCCCACCAGGACAAATCCTGCCTTTGTCGTGTCTGCTCCCACCACAACAACAATCCACTCTCAGAAAAACCCAGAAGGACAATTTTTTGTCACTCTCCAAATCCCCCTTTTTCTGCTGGACAGCCCCTTCCCTGTGTCCCAAGGCTCCAAACCCAAACCCCCACCCTGTCAGCAGGGAGGGCTCCACTGGGTGAGGAACACAGGGATAAGAGAACCTGGATCAGGCTGGAAATAACACTCCAGAGGTGGCAGTGCAGTGAAAACTAAACATAGTGAGACCTTTTCCCTGTTCCCTCTGTTCCAGCAGCAGTTCCTGTCTCACACTCCTCTCCCCAGACTTTACAGCCACAGACTGTTGACAGACCCCCAGTTTCCTGCAGTGTAAGAACTGCAGGTGTTAATAATAACTTTATTGGTGTTAATAATTTCAGCTCCCTCCTGCCTTTGCCTTCCCCGTTTCCAGCCCAACATCTGAGCTCAAGGCACTGACAAACCCGAATCCAACTGAGGGACAATCACCCCCTCACCCCCCTCCTGCTTCCCAGGGGGACTCTGTCCCACATGGGGCCAGAGCATCCTACAGGAGTGATCCTAAAAGTCTTTTCCAACCTTAACAATCCACAAAGCCTGATCTGGCAGATCTTTTCCCAACAGGACCATCCTGCCAGCTGCTGAACATCTGGCTCCTGCTGAGCAGGAGCAGGACAAAGCCCACTGGAGTGCAACCCTGCTCTCCACACCAGCCCACGCTCACCACTCCTCCTCACCAAGGACTTGTTCAGTCCTACAGTCCCTCCACCTACAAAACAGGCAAGGAGCGAATTAATTCAGCATTTTAACCCCCAAAACTTGATCACACTCAGCACAAACTGCTGCTGACGCAGACCTTGGACCCTGTGCTGCTTTTTGGGGAGTGACCCAGTCCAAGCCCAAGCAGCAAAGCCCCAAATCCCACCCCCAGGGGCAGGGACTCACCTCAGCAGCAGCTCCTTGGGCAGTTTTTTGTTGATCACGGCCTCATCGTTGTTTGAGAACATCTGCAAGCAAACACAGGTGCCACAGGTCAGCCACACTTCCAGGGAATAAGGCCCAGGGAAGAAAGTGGCTGGTTAACAAGGCTGTTTCCAGACATCTGCTCCAGTAAGTTCTTAACAGGTAAATTTTGTGCTCCAGCTTTCAAACTGTGCCTGAACGTGGATCCAACCTATCACCTTCCCAGAGGGTGGATCCAAACCCATCACCTTCCAAATATCCTGTCCCTGAGCAGGAATCCAACCCCATCACCTTCCAGATATCCTGTCCCTGAGCAGGGATCCAACCCCATCACCTTCCAAATATCCTGTCCCTGAGCAGGGATCCAACCCCATCACCTTCCAGATATCCTGTCCCTGAGCAGGGATATAATCCCATCACCTTCCAGATATCCTGTCCCTGAGCAGGGATCCAATGCCATGACCTCCCAAATATCCTGTCCCTGAGCAGGGACCCAACCCCATCACCTTCCAGATATCCTGTCCCTGAGCAGGGATCCAATGCCATGACCTTCCAAATACCCCATCCCTGAGCACGGATATAATCTCATCACCTTCCAAACATCCCAACTCTGAGCAGGGATCCATCACCTTCCAATTATCCTGTTCCTGAGCATGGACCCAATGCCATCACCTCATAAATACCCTGTACCTGAAGGTGGATCCATCCCCTTCCAATTATCCTGCTCCTGAGCATGGATCCAATCCCATCACCCACCAAAGCACCAGCTTTTGGTATCTCAGCTTGAAATCCAACGTGAAAATCCAGCGGGAAGATCCAACCTGCTGCCTTTTAAACACTCCCACCAGTGATTAAAACCTGGGAACTGGATAACACCATGGGCACCAGAGAACACCAAACCCAAGGCTTTTGGAGCCAGGCCCAAAAGCTGTGTTCCCAAACCACAGCCTGCCTTTGAATCATCCCAAGACGCCGGAGCAGGACACGAACTCTCCCACGTTCCTTCCCAAAATCTCACCCAGCACAAGTGTTGTCTCCCCCCCCACAGACACTTTTATCACCTCCCACCAGAGACATCACAAGTTGGCAGGTCCTGAACAGGAACCAGACAGGCAATTTGCTGCTAATTAAGAGTGGAGTTGTGCCATTCCCAGCTCCCAGAGCTCCGGGAGGGCAGTTCCCTCGGAGACAGGGGCATCTCCCAGAGTCACCAGCACCACCCAGCTCCTGGCAGGTGACCCTGGAGTGCCACAGCAGGAGGGACAGACATTCCCAAGGCTGGGAAAGCAGCACGTGCCCGCTCTGGGATGGGATCAGCTGGGAAATCCAGGAAAGCACAGAGAGCTCCAGTGAAGGAGAAGGGCAGAGGAATTATTCTCTCCCCCACAGTTACACCAACAGATCCATCCCCTTTCCCACCATTGTCCAGGTCAGCACCCTCCTCCCTAAAAAAAAAAGGGGTAGGAGAAGTTAAAGGAGCAAATCAGAGCAGGAGGAGACTCCCAAAAAGGATCCAGAGCAGGAGAGAACAGATTAAAACAGAGATTCCAAAGCAGCCACAGCCTCCCCTCCCTCCTCCCAGGGAACTCCACTGCTGCCCATCAAATCCCTGGGCAGGAAAATCCCACCTGGATCCCAGCACAAATCCCAGCCTCACAGTCCCTTCTGCAGGAGTTTCCCTTTGACCAGCACTAATCTAAAGGAATGTTTGTTTTTCTTTTTTGTCTGGCTAAAAATAGTCCTTGGACTTAAAACCTGATGGAAGGGGGGTGGGTGGGTGGGCCCAGGCAGGATGTGCTCCATGGGAGAACCTCTGGAATTGCCGCTCTCCTGGGAGGCTGGGAAGTGCCAGGGGCATCACCAGACCTATTTTCTCAGAGCCTGGGGGCTCAGATGGCAGAGGCTGGGTGAAAACAGGCTGGAAATGGGATTTTGCTAAGTCATGGCAGCACGTACAGCTAAATATATCAGTGGACATGGTGACTCTCTGGCAAGTCCTCACAAAAATAAAACTGCTCTGAAAAAAAAAAAAAATAAATGGAAGAGGCTGTTCTGGACTTCCAGGCTTTCCAAATGTTTCTAGGGATGAAAACCCAGAGCCCCAAGTTCGCTTTTCCTAACATCTCTTTCATCATCCCTAATTCCAGGTGGTGTCCAGTGGAATGAATTTGTTTGGTCAGGACACAGAAAAACGTTGTTTTTCTTGGATGTAGATCCAGCAGCATGTCTGAAACACAGAACGTGCCACCCAGGGCCAGGTTTGCTGGTGTGTGAAGTCAAACTGGATATTGGGAAGGAATTCTTCCCAGGGTGGGCAGTGAGGGGCTGGAATGGGAATTCCCAGAGAAGCTGTGGCTGCCCCAGCCCTGGAAGTGTCCAAGGCCAGCTTGGAGCAACCTGGGCTAGTGGAAGGTGTCCCTGCCCACTGCAGGGGGTGGGACTGGAGGGGTTTAAAGTCCTTCCAACCCAAGGCAGCCTGGGATTCCATAAACCAAGCAGGTTTATGAGGATGTACAGCAGGGACCAGAAGGCAGAGCTGTCCCAGCCTCTCCCCCAGCACAAGGTGTGCCGGTCCCTGTGCTGTAACAACCCTCCCTCTGCCCTCCAGAACATGAAAAGTTTGGCTCTGCTCCCACAGCAGTCCCCGTGGGGCTAATTCCCACCTTTCCCTGCTCCCAGGGAGGACAAGGAGCTGCTGCTCAGGCCTGGCTGTGTCAGCCCTTCATTACAGGGCAGGGCCAGCCCAAGTGGGTCAGTGGTGACACCGCCCAGCCCAGGTGACATCGGGTGACTCCTGTCCCTGCACAGGAACCGCCCCCAGCTGTGTCCCAGCTGCCATTCCAGGGGGATGGGAAACGGGAACAGCCCCTGCTGCCAGGGCTGAGGGAGGCACCTTGGCACAGAGCACTGTGCCATCCCTGCACCCCTCACTGGGCCTGGCACTGCCACGGGCCAGGCCCTGAAAGGCAGGGGATTATGGAGGCTTGGCTCCCTCCTGCAGGTCTGGCTCAGGGAACCATGGAATGGCTTGGAAAGGCTTTAAAGATAATCCAGTCCCACCCCCTGCCATGGGCAGGGACACCTTCCACCAGCCCAGGTTGCTCCAACCTGGCCTTGGAGACTTCCAGGGATCCAGGGGCAGCCACAGCTTCTCTGGGTAACCTGGGCCAGGGAGGAATTTCTGCCCAGTATCCCACCCAACCCTGCCCTCTGGCATCCTAAAACCATTGCCCTGGTCCTGTCAGTGCAGCTCCTGCTGGGGCTGCAGCAGCCCTGGAGCCAAAGCCCACCCAGGGACAGGGGGACACGGGCTCTGAACTCCAGCACTTCTCTCCCAGAGCAGCAAATTCAAAGCTCGGTGGAGAAAAAGGGATGAAGCTTATCCAGAGCTTCAGGGAATTAGTGGCTGCAAGGTTAGAGCAGGCACTGGGGTTGGCTGTGGTGCTGAGACATAAAATGACCCACCTGGATGTTCATTCGAAGGGAAAACAACACGGATTTGGCACCTTGAGAGCCCAACACACACTGGCACAGCCCAGGGAGACACAGAGAGGGAAGGGGAGACAGTGACACCCATTTTCAGGACAAAACCCACCCAACCACCTGGCAGAGACACCCACAGAGGTGGGCAGGGGGGAAGGAAAGCCACAGGCCTTCCCCAAACACATTCTCTATTCATTTCTTTAGATTATTAAAGTGCCAAACAAACAATGCAGAATTTAAAACCACAACCCATGGGATATCAGCAAATATTCTCATTTTAAAACACCCCAACTTGAGTGTAACAGTGCATGACAAACTTCTTACAGACCCAAAAGAACAAGGTAACCACGTGCTGAGGACAAAGCTGGAGCTGCTCTGAGGCCTAAAGCTCCCTGTCCTCGTGGGGCCCTTCCAACTGGGGATATTCCAGGATTCCATGGTCCCTGATCCCTGAGGAAAATGCTGGGCAGACCCTCCTCAGCTGCACCCAACCACAGGAAATGAAGCAATTCAAAGCCAGCCAGAGAGAGGACAGGCTGCAATTACTAATTATTAGAGAGCAAATAACGTGCTCTCTGGAAACTGGTTTGAAGCTGGGAAAGATGGGAATCAACTGCTGCCTGTAGAAATCAGGGATCACAGACACAGCTGGAATATTCCGGGGTTTACCTGCCACCCAGGCTGTGTCAGACACACTTTGGAGATGAACCTTCAGAGCTCTAAAAGCAATGGAACATCCGTGGGAATTCACTCCGAGTTTAAACCCCGAGGAGCTGGAGATGCACTGGGAGGCTTTTCCAGCTGAACAGCTGCTGGCTCCCAGCCAGAATTCCAGCATTCCTGGTAGAATTTATATCAATTTTATCTGTTACGGTCCACATGGAGATGAACAAGCCCAGTGCAGCCACTGAGACAAGGCAAGACAGAGCAAACCTCACTCACAGCACCAACAGTAAAAAAAGCTGAGCATAAGCCAGGGAACAACAGGAAAAATACGGAATTCACTCAGTATTTCCCTTGGAAAAGCTCTCAGTGAAGCTTTGAAACGACTTCTTACAAACACTGTCGATATGAACTGACATCTTGCCCCCAGTTCTGCTCATTTGGGGGAAAAAAAACCCAACCCACTGTTCCAGGGCTCAAACAACCGAGACAGGATTCCCTTCCCAGCACAGGATTTCGGGAAGCAGCAGCTGGAGCAGGCTGAGCTGCCTTCCTGGAGGCAAAGAAGACTCACACTGCAGAGATCAGTCACTGAAGTGCCAGTGAAATCCAAGGCTCTCCAGAGGAGAGTTGTTCACAGCCCGGAGCAGCTCAGACCCAGGGAATTTCCCTGGAGTTACACAGGGAATTTGTTTAAACCCCATCCAGTTCAATCTGAGTTAAGTCTCCGAGGAAATGGCTGGCTGGGAGCGAGGCAGTGCTGGGAGAGGTTCCATCCCTGGCTGTGGGGATGCTCTGCTGGGATAAGGAAGGGTGGGAATGCAGCCACTGCCCTCCTGCCCCGCTGCTCCCAACCCTGCCCGGGCAAAATCCTGACTAAGCAGGACAAACCCCGGCCAAAAAGGCTGATTACAGGCTTAATATCCCTAAAAATAGCTCCATGGGCCAATGGCTGGAGGGACACAGTCACATCCCTGCTCCCTGAGCTCTGCTGGGCTGGGAAAGCTGGAATTCCTGCCGGGAAGGGGGGGAGGGATGAGCTGCCCCAGCCCAGCCTGCACAGGGGGCAAAGTTAAATAAAGAGCCTGTCTGGGGGGGTTTTTTTTGGAACCAGGAACGATTCCAATCCCAGCAAAGCCCCACAGAAATGCAGGCTGTGACGAAGCTCTTCCCGTTCCACACCCCTCGGACACGGTGGCACTGCCAGGGAGGGGAAACCCCTCGGGATGGGCAGATGGACAGATGGACACATGGACACGGTCCCAACGCTGCTCTCAGGGAGGAAAACTCCAGAGCCAGGACGTGCAGGTGAGACACCAAAAAACCCCATGATTCCACAAATCCCACTCCAGTGCAAGAACCACGTGGCCACACCCCATTCAACCCCAAACCCCCCTCCAGAACCCGCTGCCAGACCCCAAACGGGTGCTGTTTGTCCCTCTGGTTCGTTCTCCTGCCCCAGGCAGCTCTCCCCAAACCAACCCCCCCCAAAACCACCCTGGAAGCTCCCTGAGCTCCCTTCCAAGCCCAGTTCCAGCCCCCCCAGCCCCGAGTTACCCGCTGGGCTGCGGCTGGGGAGGACACACATCCGAGGAGCTGCCCCTGCACGGCCCTGCCAGGACCTGGAGCAGCCCAGGGAACAGCTCAGGGAGGCAGCAGCTCCCAGATAATCAGCTTTGAGTGCCCAGGAGTTGTGGCTGGGGCTGAATGAACCACTCCCATCCCCAGGGACAGCTCAGGGCTGGGATCCCACCAGGACTGAGCACCCAAAAACCCCCCTCTGTGCTCCCAAAGCTGCTCCAGCTCCTGCTTTTCCAGCACCCATCCAAAAACCTCAGCAACCCCACAGGTCGTGTCTGATGGCCCAGCACAGGTATCTGATTTAAAATGATGCTGCTTCCTCAGCCTCTCGAGGTTTTAAATAGAGATGGTTGCCCATAAAAACCACATCCCCCAGCAAGAAAGAAAGAGTATAAATAAGACAAAGACTTCCTGACCTGCCAGGACACAGCCTACAACACCCACCACCACTATTTATTTTTACCTTTCTAGAAACTCCTTTCAGCAGGGCAGTGGTTTTACTACAAATACACTTGGAATGGATTAAAAAAAAAACCAGCAAACACAGAGACTGAGGCATGATTCAGTATTTTCAGGTTAAAGCCAAGACTTACCCAGCTCTCCAAGGCTCATCACGACCCAAATAAGCTGCTTTGACAAATTTCTTTTATTCTGCCCCTCCCCAGCACCTGCAGCTCTGTTGTTATTACTGGTAATATTATTATTACTGGTAATATTATTATTATTACTGGTAATAGTATTATGATTGGTAATAAGGTGTTTTTATTCACTACTGGGTTTTTATTCAGCTCTTATGTAAGAGGTGTTGGATTCACTGGGATGTTTATTTGGAGATGAAGCCCAGTGAGGGTGCCTTAATAATAAAAACCCACCTGAGCTGAGCTGTGAGGGGCACTGGGGGAGTTTGCCAGGTAGGAGAACTGATGGATTCCCCAGGGATTCCCCACCCCA